GCCGCACCTGCCCCTACCACCCCGATTCCCACACACCCCTCCCCTCACGCCCGCCCCGCAGGCGGCATCCTCGCGGGCGGGCCAGACGACTCGCGCCGCGTCGCCAACCGCCTCCACCGGCGCGCTCCCGCCTCTCGCCTCTCCTCCTGCGGCCACCTGGGCCGGCAGCCCCCCGGCAGCCCCCCGGCCACCGCGCCAAGCAGGCAGCTCTCCCGCCACCGCACTGTCCTGAGGCGGCCACACCCCCTCGCTGCAGGCTGCAGATCGAGCTCGCGCGCTTCGAGGCAGCGGTGCAGGACGGCTGGTCCTCGGTGCCGCGGATGCTCACGCCGGCAGCGCCGCGGCGAGCGGAGAGCTCGTCGGTGCCCAGCTCTACCCGTCGATGAGCTGGCGCCTCGGGCCCGGCGTACGACTCGCAGGCGGCGTCGCCGCGTCTTGCGGACGAGGCTCGCTGCCCCGTGCCCCCTCCCCCCCCGCGACTGGCACAATTTGGGGCGCGCAGAGGGATGGGGGCGGGCGGCGACGCAGCGCCAGCAGACGTTCCGATTAGAGCTCTCTACAGAGGTCAGAGCCCCGAGTGTGTACAGCAACGAGCGAGAGCAGGGTCTCTAGAATTAGATCTCGTGTTGTTTATATGTTTTGAGCGATTTTACATCGTTTTTAACTTTATACGATTGAGGAAGTTGGTGTTGCGCTGTTGGTTACAGTATTCGGTGAACTGCATACGAGGCCGTCCCCGCGCCGGTGTGGCCGCGGTGCGCGGCCGTCGCGCAGGGCGCACCAGCAGCAGCACCTCTCGCTCGGTCGCCCCTCCTGCTCGCCCCTCGCCCTCCACCCTCCCCGCCGCCCACATCACACACACCGTGCATGCGACACGTATCACCCGTCATGACTCAAACACACGAATCGCGGCGGGCGGGGAGAAATTGCCGAAACGAGCACACTCTATCTCTCCGACTCTCAGCTGAGCTCCTAGCACTCGCTACGCAGTATATGATCTCATACGTTATCGTCTCCCTCCTTGGCCGGTGGCAGCCCTGAGTCTCCCGCCGCGGCTGCCGCCAGCGCACTCATGAACTTATCCACGTCCTCGGCGCTCGCTGGGAGCGGCGCGTCCGTCGCGGCGCCGGCCTCGCCGCCGGCGGTCGCGACGTACGACTCTAGCATGTTCAGCTTGGCCTGATCCTCGGCGTCGAGCTGGCCCTCGTCACGGAAGTTCCTCGCGAGCGTCCTACCGGCGGCAGGGTACACGGTGACGGTGCGAGCGCTGGCGCTTCGGGGCGCGGGCTGGTCACTTACTCCTGGAAGGCAGCCTCCTCCTCGTCCAGCGACTTCTGCACCTTCTTGTAGTAGCGGTTCCTCCTCCAAATCCTGCAGACGATGCACGCGGTGCAGCAGACGAAGAGGCCAATCGAGGCTCCCACGAGCGACGCGATGAGCTCCTGGTCCATCGGTCGTATGCCTCCGCGACCGCGAGTGGAAGAGGACCGGGACTGCGAGCTCAGTAGCGCCGTGCGGGCGGGTGTGCGTGGCCTTGAGGAAAAAGAAGAAAACCAACATTGAAGGGTGGAGGGGCCCGTCCGCAGAGCTAGGCGGCGCGGGCACCCCCGACTGGGGCCGAGTGTAAGAGGCCGTTTGTTTGCCGCTTGCGTGTTCCTGACGTCGTTGACCCAGTTGGCGTGAGTGAGTATTCTTGATACGAAACCACGACGACACACACCAGTCGACTCGCATCGGTTGCCTCCATTAACGGCGGAGCTATTCTCGCGCCCACACCACACCTGGCTCCAACGTGGACACGCCCATAGCTAGCTGGGGACACTACTAGGTCATGCATGGCATCAGAAGTTTTATCTCTGGGCCCCGAAACGCATCTCTAGCAGCGTCGTTACGCATGCGCCCTCCCCCTGGGCGCATGCGCCTCACATCTCGCCAGAGCATAAGCCCTTGGTGTGCAGCGAGACGAGTTTTTCGCCATCGCCGCGAGCAGCAAGCCGCCCGCCGCAAACAGCCGGAGGCATCGCCGCAGCACCAGCCGCGCGCCCGCGCCGCGGTCCCGCACCCGTCGACGAACAGCTCCCCCCGCGGAAGACCGCGCGTAGCGACGCCTTGACGATCGAGATGAGCGCGCTCGAGGCTCGCCCACCTACTGCCCCTGAGAGTTGGTTATGAGTGGGATCAGCTCCCCCCCTTGGGATCGAAGCCGCCACAACCTCACACCCAACAGCACAGGTGGGATCAGAGAGAGACTCCACACCGGACACCGCCCGGGCACAGACTCCCTACCCATCGGATCGCACAGGGCCCCCTCGGAGCAGCCCACACACAATCACGCATCGGCAGAATTAGTGCCTGAGTCAGGCAGACAGCAGACAAGGAGAGAGAGAGGAGAGAGAGAGAGAGAGAGGAGAGAGGAGAGGGTGAGGGAGTGTGCACACGTGTGTGGAGAGGGAGGGTGTCTGTAGTGGGCTGTAGTCATACTACGTGGTTAAAACCACGCGCCCCTCAGGAGCTTAAGGTAGAGTGGAGCGTCCCAGACGCCTCGGTGCCTCCCACCGGCGTGAAGACCATCCGGATCTGCCTGCCGCGTCCTCCGTACGCAGCAGTCCCCGCGATGGCCCACGGTCCTCCGTCGCCTGGTTGACCCCCTGCCTCCCGGTTGACCCCCAGTCCTCGTAGTCCATCATTAAATAAACTCAAAGTCCACCACAGCCACCAGCCTCCACCTCCACCGTACACACACACACACACACACCCAGTTGGCCCGCTCAGCCTCAGGGGACTTGAGCCAGTTGGGAGAGAGAGAGAGTTGTTTTGTGTTTGTCCAGTTGGTACGCACGCATCTTGCGCGCCGGCTCCACCACTTCCTCGAGCACCTGGCCGGACCACACACGGCTACGTCAAGGCGCGCATCGCGGTTTCTACCACGACGCGATCTTTGTCAAGCGCAACAACTTCAACCTGCTGCTCCACGAGACGTTCGGCGGCGGCTTCTCGCCCACCGCCGTTCTCAAGCTGCGCCGCCTCGCGCGCAAAGTCGCGCGCGGCAGCGTTGACCGCACGGCCTACTCGCCCAAGTACTCGCTCTCTTTTATGTCCCACCATGCAGAGCGCATCTCTCTCTCTGTTGTGCGAGGCGTGAACCGCGCCATTCGCTCTCACCTGGCAACCCTGTCTGCACGTCTCGCGCGCGCGTGAACAGGGCTCCAGGCCCCAAATTACGTGTGAGTGTTAGAGTTGTTTGGTATTGCTAAAAATCTCACGGGTACATCGCGAAAAGCAAAAGCAGACACTCCAAGTGCTCCTGTACGCGCTACGGAAAGAACTGGTGGCATAAAAATAAATGAGAGTGTGTGAGCCGGACGGCTATTTCGTTTCTCTCTGTCTGCTTCTCGCACATGGAGAGAGAGAGAGAGTCGTAATTTCTTGTTGGTCTTTAAAAATCTCTCTCTCACATGGAGTGCGAGGTAGGTTCTCTACATGTACTGTCGTTACAACAAGAAGAGAAAATAGACGGAGTGGCGTTCCTTCCCAAACTGAAAGAAAGAAGAAAGAAAGAAAAGTGGCAACCCAAGGGAAAGAAAGAAAGAAAACAGACAACCCAAGGGAGGGATGGGAGGGCATGGCAGACGGATGCGCTTTCTTTCTCCCGGCCGGGAGACGCGCGTGGGGGCGGCGGGTCTCGGCTTTGCTTGGGCTGCCACTACAGCTCTACAAGCCTCTGCGATGCAAAGCATCGTCGTCGCCGCCCTTTCGGCCGATCCGGTGGAGCGGCGAAAAGGCGAGGATGGCCTGCGGGCATCTGAGCGGCAGCCGGGCCACACGCTGCGGATGCTCAAGTGCCTGGCTGGGCAGGCGGCCTCGGTCGTGCCACCACCGGCCGCGCTCTTCTGCGCGCAGGCGGTGCAAAAGTCGCTGCGCCGGGCGCCGCTGCCGGAGCTCGACGAGGCGCTTGCGGCGGTGCTGCTCGCTGCGACTCGCGAGGCTGCAGCCCGCGGCTGGCAGGCCGGGCTGATCCAGCTGTGCCTCGCCTGCGCCGTCACTGCCATTCGTGCTGGCGAGACCACGCTGCTGGCCGCCTTTGACGGCAACTCCTCGGCCGTCGAGCGACTCGCGGCCCTCCAGCTCCTCGCTCTCGTCGCCGAAGAGCTGCACTCGCCCGCGTCCAAGATCTCGGTCGCGCCCGCCCGACCGGCGGCCCTGCGGGCGGCGCTGGTCTCGCAGGCGGACGCGACACTGGCGACGCTGCACCGATGGTTCGAGGAGGCCGCCGCCGCTGCCGCCGCCTCACAAAGGTTGCAGCCGGCGCAGGCGGAGGCGGCGGCACACTCTGCTGCGGCGGTGCTGCGTGCCGTGGGTGCGTGGTGTGCCTGCGGCCTGCTGGGGGCGGAGAGTGCCGCGGCGAGCCCGCTCTTGAGCCGGTGCGCGGCGGGCGCGCTGGCCAACAGCCGCACGGCGGTGGACGCCGCGGAGGCTGCCTGCGCCGCCATCGAGTTGGCCGAGCCGAGCGGGCTGCCGATGCTGCGGCTGCTCGCGTGTCTGCTGCCGCACCTGCAGGCGCTCGACGCCGGGTCGCGCGCCGTGGCGGCGGTGGTCGCGCAGGGCTGCGTCGCGCTCGCCGGCGCGGCGAGCGCGGCGCCGCCCGAGGCGGACCCCCTCCTCGAGGCTTGGCTCGACCTGCTCGTCGCCGCGACGGCGCGCCTGCCCCCGGAGGACGCGGGTGTCGCCCTCGAGGCGTGGGTTGCGGTGGGGGACGTGGCGGCGGAAGAGGAGGCGGGAGAGGAGCGGGGCGGCGCGGCGCCGCCCGGCGGGCGCCGAGTCGTGCTCCGCACTATGCGAGCGGCGCGGCCCCGCCTCCTCTCCGCCCTGCTCGGCTCGTCTCTGCTGCCGCCCGACTTGATGGCCGTGACCGAGGCGCAGCGCGAGGCGTGGCTCGACTTGCGCGAGGAGCAACGCGCCGTGCTTCGCTCCGCTGTCTTCCCGCCAAGCGCCGCGGGGCGGGCGAGCGGCGCGGCGGACGAGCTCACCGCGCAGCTCTGGGGGTGGGGCTCCGAGGCGCTCGCGCATGCGCCGTGCGCCGGAGTGGGAGGCTGCGGCGCCGCTGCCCCAGCAGCGGCGCCGCCCGCCGCTGCTGCGCCGCCCCCGTGGCTCGTCGTCGAGGCGACGCTGCATGCGGCCTCGGGGGCGGTGAGGGCGGCGGGCACTCGCCCCTGCCCCGCGCTCGAGGCGCTCGTCACCGCGCTGCCTCGCGTGGTGCAGTACGCGGCGCTCCTCTGCTCGACGTCGCCCGGCGGCGGCAGCGGCGGCGGCGGCGCCGAGCCGCTCGCCGGGCGGGCGCTGCTCGGCGCGGCCCTCGTGCTGACAGGCGCCCTATCCGCGTGGCTGGGCGGTGAGAGCAACCGGCGCCTCGTGCCCCCGCTGCTGCCCGCGCTGCTGTGGTCGCTGTCCGTTCCCGAGGAGCACGAGCAGTCATGGCCGGCGGCGGGGTGGGACGTGCGCTCGAAGCAGGAGCATGCGGGCGCGGTCGCGCTCTTCAAGCTGGCCAGTTCCTCGCCCGGCGCGCTCCTCTCGCCCGCCCTGTCCTTCCGCCAGCTCGCCGCCGCCCTCCACGCCGCCTGCTCCTCCCCTCCGCACCGCGCATGCGCCAGCTCGCAGCCCCGCCCGCGGCGCGGTCACTCGAGCGAGTGGCCTCTCGGCGCCGGCTCGGCGCGGCTGCTGCTGCAGGCGGCGGCAGCGGTGGGGGCGGCCGCCGCCGCGACAGGCGAGGTGGCCGTGGACGTGGTCGACGCGCTGCTCTCGCCGGTGCTCGACCGGCTGGCTGCGGCCGCCTCACAGCGCCACGCGGGCGGCGAGGCGGCCTTGGAGGCTCTCGGCTCGCTGCACGCGCTGCTGATGGCGTGGCCCCCGGCCCTCGCCGAGGAGGGGGCTGCTGCGCTCACCCCGCACGCCGAGTGCATCGGCGTCTTGCTCTCTGCCGACCCCCGCCTGGCGGAGGCGGCGTGCGACGTTGCTGCGGCGGCACTGAAAGGCTTTGGAGGCCACGCCGCGCCGCTCCTCCTCGCTTGGGCGCCCGGCTTGGCCGCGCGCTTCGACAGCAGTCTGGCGGCGGCCAGGGCGGAGACCGCTCCGGCGGCCGCTTCAGCCACCGCAGCCTCTCGTGGAGTGCTACGGGTGGGTCGGGCGTTGGTGCAGCACGGCGCGGGGCTGCCTGCCGAAGCTCTCGAGGCAGGGCGGGCGCTCTTGCGGCATTTCGCCGAGCGGCTCATCTCGGCCGCTTCGCACGCCGCCGAGGCGGAGCAGGCCATCCTCGCCGATTGGTTCGAGCTGTGCGGTTCGGGTGCCGGCTCCTGCGAGCTGCTCGCGCCGTGTGTGGGCGCAGTCGTCGAGGCGGGCCGATGCGTGATTGGGTCGAGGCCGCCGGGCCACGAGCCGCTCCTCGCAGACGACGATGTGGCCGGGCTGAGGCAGGCGCTCGTGCTCCTGCGGCTAGCCGTGCCGCCTTCGCCTCTCCCACCCGGCGCCGCCCTCAGCAGCTGCATGCTCGCAAGGCGGTGCCATCTTTGCGCGGGTGCTCGTGTCGCTGTCGACGTGGATGCCATCGTGGCTCCTCGGCGATGCGGCCTCCTCGCTGTGGGCCATGCGCAACGGCCACGGCCCCGCCGAGTTTGGACGCTGGCTGCACGAGGCTTTGGCTCACGCCGACGTGCCGCGGCCGGGACTGTCGGCGGAGGCCAAGATGGCTTTCGCGAAGCAGCTGCTCGACGCGACCGCTTGGTCAGCCTTCAAGGCGGCCCTCAAGCAGCTCTGTGGCGGTAAGAAGCGGGGCGAGCGGCGAGCCTCGTCGGACTAGAACCCCTCTGTCGACCTCGAGAGGAGCCGCATCGAGACACGGAGAGTGATGAGTGTGTCTCATGTCGGCCCACGGTGTGCGTACTCAACTACAACTCTCCACTCTTTCTCCCACTCGCCTGCCGTTCATTATACATACATACCCGCGATACCCGCTTGTATTTCTCGTCTCCTTTTTTTGTTCGCTCCGCCACGGCCCACGGCCTCGCTTGTCGAGCTACTCGCTTTACACGATTTTCATGCGCGCTCTTACAGTATGATTCCGCGCGCCCACGCCTCTGCTCTCGAGACTCCACTCTCGTCCAGCTCTCCAGCACAGCAGCGGCACCAGGACCAGCTCTCTCTCTCCCGTCTGTCACAAGTGCGTACATGTGCATGTGCATGTGCATGTGTGTGTAAAGCCAACGCTAGCCCCTCGGGGTTTGACAGCGATTGCACTGATTCCGATGGCCAAAGTTGATGTTAAAGCAGCTTGGGCACCTCCAGTTCCCATTTTTGCCCTCCTCCGGGCACCCATTTATGCCACCGATCGGGATGCCGCGACCGCGGGCGGGCGGTCTCTTGGGTGGCGCCCCCGCGGCGTGCCTCGCGGGCGACTGCGCCGACGCGCCCCCTGGCGGCCCGTGCCACTCCGCAGAGCCGGCCCCGCCTCTGCGACCGCTGCCACCCGCACCGCCACTGCCCATCCCAAAGCCGCCGCCACCAAAACCGCCCGCGGCGCTGCCTTCGGCGGGGCCTCGCCAGCCTCCGCCGCCAGGAAGCGGCGCCTGCGGCGAAGGCGCGTCGAGCGCTCCGATGGAGGCCATGAAGGCGAGGTCCTGTGCGGAGGGGGTGAAGCCGCCTCTGTGCGGCGCTTGACCCGCTCCGTGAGGCGCTTGGCCGGCGTAGCCCTGCTGTTGGCGAGGCGGCGGCGGGGCCGAGCGCGGAGGAGGCGGGCCACGCGAGACCTGCGGCCCGGCACGGCCGGCACCCCCGCGACGGTCCGGGCGCTGGTTGTGATCCCGGCGAGGCGGATCCGCCGCGCCCCGCGCAGCAGTCGACTCGAGCTCGGCCAAGAAGGCCAAATCGTCCTTGCTCAGCTGCGCCGGTGCAGGCGAGCTCCAACTACCCGCCGCAGCGAGTGCGCCGCCGGAGAGGCGGCTCGTCTCGGGGAGGGGGCCTGAGGGCGGCGCGGTCTTCGCCTTCTTGGCGGCGCTCCCCTCGAGCTCGGCGAGGAACGCCTCGTCGGCGGCGGAGAGGCTGCAGGACTGCTGGACGGTGAGTGGCGGCGGCGGCGCCAGAGGGGAGGCGAGCGGGGAGGGAGGCTCCGGTGCGGGCACGAAGCAGTAGAGGCTGGCGTCACCGAGGCGCGGCGCGGCCGTCCGAGCGGCAGCGAGTGGCGGCTGAGCAGGCGCAGGAAGCTGTAGAGGCTGAGCAGGCGCAGGGGCGGGCAGCGCCGCGCTGCCGCCGCGCTGCACGGCGCTGCCCATGTACGCGCGAGAGTTGAGCCGCGGGTCTTCGGCCGATGCGAACGCGGGACTCGGCGGCGTCCGATGCTGCTGCTGAAGCAGGGGCGTGGGCGGCGGGAGGGACGAGAGCGACTGCTGCGAGCCCAGCGCCGGCGGCGGCCCGGGCGGAGCACAGTACTGCGGCGCGGAGCCCTGCGCCTGTGGCAGCATCCCCTCAGGCGCGCCCTCTCCGAGCGGCGAGGCCGGCGCGACGAGGGGCAGGCGGAGGTCCATCTGTGGCTGCGTTGGGTCGTACTCCTCGTGGGGCTCGCCCTCGCGGAGCAGCGCCCGGGCCCTCCCCGGCGACCGCAAGGATGACCCTGAGCCCAACGCAATCGGCGGAGGAACCGCGGCCGCCCCCGTCCCCGCAACGTCCTCGGGCGGCAGCGGTGGCGGCGCCGCCGCCTCCGCGGATGCCGCCGCCTCCGCTGCGGTCGCGACCACGGCCCGTGCGCGACAGATTGCGCGCGAGAGAGCAGACTCCTCGGTAGCCTCCTCGCGTGCGAGCTCCTCTGCTGCTCCCTCTGCCGGAGCCGTCGCCTGCCGATCTATCCCACAGTGGGAGGCGAGTGCCGCAGCGATGCCAAGTCGGGGCGCTGAAGGCTGAGAGCTCTCGACAGCTACAGTCACGGCATCCGCACCGCGTGTCAGCTCCACTGGGCCGTCGTGCGCGTGCGTCTCAGCGGGTGGCGTCATGTCAGCCAAGCATTCCAAAGCCGACCCGGGTGGGAACTTCCTACCGGGTACCCGGGTACAGTGGCTGCGGGCATTAAGAAATACGATCCGAAGCGGGCAGAGGAGAGAGAGAAGAATATAGGATGGATAAAGCGCCTGTTCACGGCATGGAGGGTGAGCCACGATGAACGTATTGAACGTAGAGCCGAACGGGGGAAGCCGGGGAAGAAGACTCCGAGGAAGACGAAAGAAACACCAGTGGGAATCCCGGCGTCAGCTGTAACGATGCACCCGAAGGGGACCCCAGCGCCAGCATCATCGGTGGAGGTACAAGTGTCCGAAGAGAGAGAGTGGACCTGAGCAACGTCCAACGATATGACTTGGCGGCAAATGATCGCAGTGGGCGTCAGAAGAGTCGTCCTCGTCCTTGCGCGAGGAGAGCTCGATAAACTCGAGGGGCCGAAATATGCCGCGAGGAGGGCAGAGTTGCGCCGAAAGGCGGGAGAAGCCGCGAGAGCAAGGGATCGGCAGGCGGCGGCGGCGTCGCAGGACGAGGCAGACGAGAGCGACGCGACAGAGGAGGAAGCGACAGGAGGGAGAACGACGAGAGTGGGACGACCCGAGGTTGGCATGAAGGTTGCAGCGAGAATCGGCGAGGGACTGCGAAGGGAGATAGAAAGAGGCAGACGACCAAGGTTAGGGTGGGCGGACGGCTAGCACGAGTCTGCCGCCGAGTCGGCTCTCTGGATGACGGGAAGACACACACGACACACCCGCCTCCATCCACTCCACTCAGAACACCGCACCGCAGACTTGAAAAGTTACAAGTGCGAGAGAGAGATTTTTAGCAATACCAAACAACTCTAACACTTGGAGCACTTGGAGTGCAGTCGGCAACCTCACATCCAGGGCCGGTGAGCTGAGAAGCGCATCCAGCGGGCCGGATGATCGGTATCGGGTTACGGGCTAGAGAGCCCTAGCCCCGGGGGTGCGCGTTCGCAGGGCAAGGGCCTTAAAGTAAACACGGGTCTCCGAGGGTTAGCTCCGCGCTCCAGGTTTCCCCTAGCAGCAGAACGCCCCCTCTACTCGGAGCTAGTAAGGATGTTTTCTTTCTTTTTCTACTCGGAGCCAGTGATACGAGAATACGCACATGTTACAAGAATACACAGTGCCCCCACACTCACACGTTTTGTTTTTCAAGTGCGCGCGCCGCAGGCGAAGAGAAATTTTGAGCTGGGGCTCCCGTTCACCGTTTGGCCTTTATACGCTTTTCTCGCCGAGTACTATCTATATTCTTTTTGCGTATTCTTTCCGTATTCTTGTCCAAAATAGGGTCTATATTCTCGAATATGGCAAGAATATGGCTCCAAATAGGGCCTATATTCTCGAATATTCTTTATATTCCGGCTGAAAATCGCTGAAAATCGCTTCGAAAAGAATATAGAATATGAAGAAAAGCGTATAAAGGCCCGATGCCGAGCGTCCGGCCAACTGGGTGCGCTTCTCAGCTCCCCGGTCCTGGGCGTGAGGTTAATGACCGCACTCCAAGTGCTCCAAGTCCCAATATCACCGTTGCCCTCGTGTCTGGCCTTTTCTCGGGGCCGCGCCTGCGGCGCGCCGTGGTTTCTTAGATTTTTGCGGAAATCGCTTTGTAGGGTTTCTTAATGCCACGTTTTCTTCGTTTGAGCGCGGAGGCTTAGAGCCGGAGGGTGGCTGCAGCGTGCGAGCAGCGCAGCGCCAGGCCGACCACTGGCACGCCCGAGCGGCTGTGGGACGGAGGCCCGCCGAGCGAGTGCGAGCCGCATCGGCGGCCATGTCTCCCGCCGCCGCGAGCGAGTGGCGCAAAGAGGCAGCGTCATGCTTGTGCGCGAGTTCTCTTTTCCTGCGACTTGTTGCCCGCGCGAGCTGATGGGGCCGAGCGTCCTTGTCGGCAATGTGGTGCTCGTAAAATTGCGGGGCTATGGGCAGTGGCCCGCCATTGTGTGCCACACAAGCCAGGGCGGGCCCCTCGTCCAGGCCAGTCGCGGCGCCAACACTGTGCTCCTTCGCTGCTTTGGCGACCATAAGTATGTGTGGGGGACGCCAGCGATGCTGACTCAGTTCGATCCCTCCCCGACCGCTCTCAGCCGCGTCAAGGGTCAGCAGCTCCGACGTGCGTACCAGGAGGCGGCCTCGCAGCTGCACGTGCCAAAGCGGAGCGGTCCGGGAGAGCCGCCTGGGCCGCCGAGCAAGCAGGCGAGGCGCGATGGGCCGTCGGCGGGTGCGAACTCGTCCGGCGCTGCCGGCGAACTCGATCGGACCGAGCACCCGGCCGAGTCGAACCGCTCGTCCTCGCCACTGCACGTCACAGCCGCGCTGGATGGGGACAGCGGGGGCGAAGGCGAGCAGGGGCCCCTTCCGGACGTGCAGGAGTTGGCCGGGCACGCCGCTGATCTCGGATCTGCGATGGTCGACGGGACGCCGGCGGCTGACGATCGAGTCACGGAGGAAGAACGACACCGAGAGCACCTCTTGTTTGTGCGTAAAATTGCGGCGAAGCTGCTCAGCGCGATCGACAACATGCTCGAGCACCACAACCAAAAAATTCTCAACCGGCGGTAGGTCGAGCAGCCCTTGCCCTCCCACTGTCTGCCAAAGGCCATCGTGGAGAAATAGAAGTGCATGTTGGTGCGTGCAGTCGTCTGTACGTGGCGTCACCGGCGGAGGCGCCGCGATTCTCACGCACCACGGGAGCGCGGGCACGCCGCGAGAGCAGTGCGAGTCTCTCGTCTCTGGCTGGCCCGCGGGGCTGAAAATGTGAAGCCTCGTGCCGTCGTGGTTTGTTTGATACGAACTCAATACAATACTCGGGCATGCGGTCTCACGCGGTCACACACCACGCAACACGCTTCCCCCCCCCCGGAGCCCGGTCACCGCGGACCGAGGTCCGAGCGCGGGTGTATACACAGCCGAGACTAGCGGCGGACTAGGCGGCGGAGCGCCCCTCTACTCGGAGCTAATGAACACCTGACACGAAGGAGAGAGAGAGAGAGAGCACGGCGTACACTCGCCGACATCCTCGCCCAAGGTACCTCCGCTTGGAGAACTTGGAGTTTCCGCTTACGTACCTCTCTGACTACCTTCGCACGGCGTCGAGGGCGTTTCGACGTCCGGGGCGGTCGTCCACCAGCACGGTGTTCGATGCCTTATGCTCTGTCGACCCTGTTGCAGCAGGGCGCCGACGGCACGCCGCGTGAGCCTCGACCAAGCAATCGCGCACTGTTTCGAGGCGCGGCCGCCGAAGCTTTGGCGATGGTGCTGTTTGTCTTCTTTGGTTGTGGGGCCGCTTCCTCAAACGCTCGTAAGTTTGATGGCGGCGAGTGGGACCCGGCCTCGGTCACTATTATTGCTCTACAGTTCGGGCTATCAATCACCGTCCTGGTGTACGTCACTGCTCACACGTCTGGCGGTCACATCAACGGAGCTGTGACTCTCGGGTTGATGGCGGTCGGCAAGTGTCATCCACTGCGGGCTGCTGTCTACCTCGTCGCGCAGCTGGTCGGGTCGATCGTCGGCGCAGCGATCCTTGACGGGGCGACTTATGGTGAGGCACACGACTTTACACTCGACCGAACTGGCGGCCTGGGTTCAAATGGAAGGCAAAACCCGGCGGTCAGCCTCGGAAGGGCATTTGCGTTTGAGTTTATGGGCACGTTTCTGCTCATGTACACCGTCCTCGAGACGGCGGTCAACGTGCACTCGGTAACCACAGAAGGCGAGTCCAGCATTCTCGGCAACAAGCTCAATCTTGCGCCGCTCCCGATCGGCTTTGCCGTGTTTCTCGCTCACGTGGTTTGCATCCCTGTCACCGGCTGTTCGATAAATCCAACGCGCTCGTTTGGGCCGGCCGTTGTCTCCGACACATGGGATGATCACTGGCTTTGGTGGGTCGGGCCATGCTCGGGGTCCATCGGGGCCAGCATCGTCTGGGCAGCGATGAAGCAACTCGACGATCCAAACGATAAGGGGCGACTGGTGGCCATATCCAAGGGGGGTGAGATGGGCTAAAATCCCGGGGCTGTGGGCTTGAAGGCGCCACCAGTGGCGGATTCCGATCCTGAATCGCATGAATCGACAGACGACACTCTCTCGACTCTCGCCTCACTCCTCTGGTGCTGGTCCAGGTCATGCAAATAAAATCTGAGATTTATTCGAGGGTGTATCGTCGATGTCCCAAAAGTCAGCGTTGCCAGCTGCGAGAAGCGATGGGCGCCCCTCAAAACGCCCATAGAGCCACCGCCTCGCTCGCCCGAGCCGCTCCGACTGGAGGGCGCTGCGCTCGCCCGGCACATCGAGCCGGTGCACCACCCGCCCCCAAACGCGGGTCCGGACCCCCCTCGTCGCCAGCGGCAGCCGCTGGCTCGACGAGCAGCACCCGCTCGGCCGCCTCCTTGGCCCGGCCGCCGCTGTCGCGGCTGTCGGGCTCCGCGACAGCCGTCGACCACCGACCAGAGGTAGCTGTGCCGCTATGGATGCGGAGAGTGCAAAAAGGGTGTCGCGCTTTTGCGACCCCGCAGCATGGTTTGATAAAAGGCACCGTTCTCGAGTCGGCGAACTCACCATTTTATTTTCGAGTTTAGGTCTCGTGACGGCTATCTCGACCCGGCGCGCGAAATCTGCAGCTACGAGGCCTGGGTCGGGGCTATGAGTGGGCTACATGCCGCTTGCCGCGGCTCCTAGGTCGACGAAACGCTCGCGCTTCACCCTCCCCCCCTCTGACGAAAGGTGTCTGCGTCGCGCGCTAACCGGCAAAGAATCTAACGGCGGGCGATGGCGGCGCGCGGCGACGCTTCTGACTCAAAGGAAGTCGCCCACACACCCACCCTCACCACAACGCCGTAGGCGGGTCGAGGCTGCCCTCCACCCGCTCGCGCTTGCCTCACCTAGGCGACCGGGTAGGCTCCCTCTAGATGGCGCCCGAGACACCTTCACGGCGGCGCTTCTGCCCGCGACAGCGGCGCCTGAGCGCGTGGGCTGGACGGCCCCTCGGGGAGGCCCGCGGGGCGGCGGGAGAGAGCTCTCCCGCCGTCGTGGCGCACCATATCGCCCGTAGACGCCTCTTTATAGTCGCCTTTTAGCACCTCCTCTCTACACGCCGCCGAGTACACCCCGCCGCACCGCATCACCGCCCCCTTCCCTGCCCCGTCGCCCTCCTGAGCTCTCCCCCCTTTGCTCCAGCCACCCACAGGACGGCTGGGCCATCGGCCCACGTGACAGGCGCCCGGGACGGCCGGGGAGCGGCCCCGTATTTTGAGCCCTCTCGGGCCACCCTCGGGCGCGTCCGCCGGCCGGCAGAGCACCGCTTGGGCGACTCTGACGGCCCGCCCGACCACCGCCCTCGATCGTGCCGCTCCCCCGGCGTCAGTGGCGGGCTGGGGGGGGCAGGCGGCGTCCGCGCAGCCCCTCGTGGGGGTGCCCACCGCTCTCCTCTCACCTCTCCCCCCCCGCCCGTGGCACCCCACGCACGCGTCCCTCCTCAGGGGCGCAAGGCGGCACGTTCAACGCTTGCCTCGGCCCACCTCGCCATCACGCCCGCCGCCGCGACCAAGGAGGTGGCCTCGGCGGCCCAGACGAAGCCCGTGCGGCTCGTTTGGGAGCCGCGCGCCGTCCCTCTCTCGCCCGCGCTGCTCACACGGCCCAAGCCCACGTCCCTCCGGTCGCAGGCGCCGCCTGGGAGTAACCAGCGCCCCTCCCGAGCACCTTCCCGGCGGGCAGCGCCTCCGTAGCGGCGCTGGCGGCCCCTGCGAGCCGGCCGGCGCCACGAGTGAGTATTCGAAGGCGCGCGCGTCCCCTCTCTCCCCGGCCCGCCGCGTCTCTCTGACCACCCCTCCCCCTCCCGGGTCAGGCGTGCATCGGGCGTACAAAATGGCCGCGGGGCGCCGTCCAGCGACGCTGTCTCTTCCGCCTGAGCGGTGGGCAACTCTCTGGCCGGGCTCGGGCCCTCTCGGGCTGCTGCGAGCTGCGCGATGCGCGTCCCCTCCGCCGCACGGCCGTGCCCCTGCCCCTCACCCTCCGACTCCGCCGCAGGACCGGTCTGGCGACCCGGGACGACCGCCTAGAGCAGCATCATCGACCATCCCGACCCCGTGGGGGCCGGGGCGGGCCAGCGAGACGTAAGAGCGCCCCTCCCCCCCTCTCGCGGCGCGTCCCCTCCTTCCTCCCCGCACCCCGCCACCCGGCTCGCCGCCCCGTCGCCGTCGCGAGTCAGCCCTCGGCCAGGTACTGCCAAAGGCGGCCGCAAGCAGCGCCATCGCTACCAGCGCCACCGTGCTGGCGCTGGTGAGCTCTGCGGCCCGTGTAGCGGCCCCTTAGCCCGTCGCCCGGGCACATGGCGCCCTCACACCGCTCCTCGCCTCCGTCTCGCAGGCCAAAATCGTCGACATCGCGTCGGCACTCTCGACGGCGCGCCTGGGCTCGGAGAGGGCGGCCTGGGCGGTGCGGGGTGGCTGGGCTGCCCCCCTCCCGCGGTGCGCCAAGCCTCGGGGGTCGGGGAGACCATCTCGGGTCGCTGAGGGGGCGGGTCGGACGCCCGATCCGGCTGCTGGCCGGAGGACGTCGCCGGTTCCGCGATTTTGGGCGCCCCAGTCGCCTCCAGCCGGGCCGAGCGGCGCCAGCTGGTAGCTGGGGCCGCAGGGCGGTCGGGCCGACACCGTGTGCTAGTCGGGGTGGGTTGTCTAGGGGTGTAAAGGTCGGTAGAGTGTCCGTTTGTGGCCTCCGGACGGGCTCTGGTCGGGAGCCCGCCGGGCCGGCTGAGGCTGTGTGTCCGTCCACTGTGGACCCAGTGATGGCCTAGGAGCCCTGCACGGACGGTGTTTATGCTATATAACACCTAGGGACCGCGTGGGGTGGGCGGCGAGCCGCGCGCATCGGCCGACAATGTGCCGGTGTACGCGTTTCGGTGACACTCAGGGCCCGTTTTGCATGACCTGTCCGCGCGGTTTCCTGACTGACTCCACTCTCTCTCTCTCTCTCTCACACACACACACACACACTCCTCCTCCCCGCATCGGCTTCCGCCCCACAACGCCACAGTGCTCCAAGTGCCACACACGGGCTGCCAAAAGAGAGGATTGTTACAGTTTTTGTCTGTCATCTGCGAACAGCGACCGCCCTTTATTATTTACTGATTACTCGGTCAAGAGGTCGTCAAACGCGAAAGGAAAACGAGGCTTGAGCGCCGCCGCTTGGGGGCGCAGTCGAAGGGTGGGTTAGGTTGCGGACGCTGCACGCGGGCGGGGTCTGCTGCCTGTGGGAGCTAGGCAGGAGTCTGTCAGGAGAGCTGTGACCCCCGAGCAACACCGTCAGCATCCGGATTGTAGCTGGTGTATTTGGCTGATGACCCGCGGCATCGATCCGCCGGGTATTTTTGACCGTTGCGCTCCAGCTTGGCAGCGCACGCTGCTGGCAGGTCGATCCCGCTGCGATCGGCGAGGCGGACCAAGTACATGAGTACGTCGGCCATTTCCTCTCCGAGGTGGGTGCGGTCGGCGTCAGTCCACCCTGGCAAGCCCGGCGCGCAGGCCGCGTCGCCGCGCCACTGAAAGCACTCGCACAGCTCTCCGACTTCACCCGTGAGCGCGAGCGCGAGTGAGCGCGGGGTGTGGAACTGATCCCAATCACGAGCGGCGGCGAAGGCTGCCAGAGAGCCCCGCAGTTCCTCGAGATTTGGCGCAGCGCTGAAGGTGGCCGCCGCCGCCTCACCGCTGCGCCGGGACTTGCTGCTCGAGCAGCTCTCGGCCTCGCGGGCACGTTTCGGCATCAACACTTGCGCTTTGCGCTGCGTCGCCTGCGCGGCACACCCCAAAAAAATCGCTTCCTCTTCGCAAACCCTGTCAGCAGTTCACCCTCGGGTATGTTCGTAAGAGCTACATACACTGAAAAAATCCACTGCCGATAAAAAGATTTTTGTTTTTCGATTTCTTAAATCAACCTCTGGTGGTGGCCGCCAATGACTCCTGCGGACCAGAAACATCTTCCCCTCTCCGGAAAGCACTGGAAGAACAAAAACGCCGTCGCGAAAAAGAAGAAAGCCGCGCACGCCTCAAGACGACTGCTGGAGCACGGAGAGAGGACGCCGCGCAAGGTGTCGGGCGCGGGTACGCACAGTTCTGAGCTGGAGTCGAGGTACGGCGCGCGCGGCCAATCTACCTCACAGGCCTCTCCACCTCGAGCGCCTCTCCTTCTCTCTCCATATAGGCGCGACCATGAGCACGCCCGCCCGCCGGAGGCTGATGCGGGACTTCAAGAGGATGCAGACTGACCCTCCGGAGGGGGTGAACGGGGCGCCGTGCGACAACGATATCATGAAGTGGCACGCTGTTATCTTTGGGTGCGCCGCTCCCCGCCGTCCCGCACTCGCGCGCCCACCTGAGCTGCGGTACCCTCCCGCTGCTCCAGGCCAGACGACACTGCTTGGGAGGACGGGACCTTCAAGTTGAGTGTCGAGTTCACGGAGGAGTACCCGAACAAGGCCCCGACCGTCAAGTTTTTGACCAAGATGTTTCACCCGAACAGTGCGCAGAGCCCATGATGCACTCGCCCGCCGCCACGCCCTGCCCGCGGCCCACGCTCCTCTCCCGCAGCACGCCGAGCGCGCCCGCCCCCCGCCCCCGCACGCCCCCCGCCCCACCCATCCGGTGACGCCGCCGCACGCCCCCCCAGTCTACGCCGACGGCTCGATCTGCCTCGACATTCTGCAGAACCAGTGGAGCCCGATCTACGACATCTCGGCGATCCTCACCTCGATCCAGTCGCTGCTCTGCGACCCGAACCCGAACTCACCGGCAAACTCCGAGGCGGCGCGACTCTACCAGGCGCCGCCCGCGCTCAGCCCAAGGCCGCTGGTCCGGGCGGGTGCGGCGAGCCTCTCCTGCGGCGGTGGTGGGCGCCGCAAGCCGGGGCCGTCGGAGGGGGGTGGAGGGGAGGTGTGTGGGAGTGTGTGGCTCAGCGCGCCCCGCGCGCCCTTCGCAGGAGAACCGGCGCGAGTACGAGCGCAAGGTGAAGGAGATCGTCGAGCAGTCGTGGGCCACTGAGGGGGACGGCGAGTGAGGAGGGAGAGGGTCAGTTTGTTCACAACCTCAGCTGAAACTCTCAGCTACCACCTTGCCGGTCTCGAGCAGGAGCTTCGCGCGCGGCCCAGAGGCTCGCCACTCTCCCTCTGCTCAGTGCACGCGCCGTGTAAGGGGACTGGAGCCGAGAGGCGCGGGGTGCGCGCGCCACGAGAACGCGGCGTTGTATCGCTCGCACACCGATCACCGTATAATCAGTATCGAGTATGTCATGTGCCGATGTGTGTGAGTCCAACACGAAAGTAAAAGAAACTGTGTGTGGAGAGGACAGGCGTTGCACGCGTCGCCCAACTCGCGCTGCGTTGACGGCGCGCCCTCTTGTTGAGATACAGCTCCGCGGCACGCAGACGACAACCCCGGGGAGCGGGGACGCGCGCCGCCGACCGCCGTGCGCCGAGAGCGCGAGACCCACCCGAGCGGACCGCATTTTATGGGCTTTGGCGGCAGACCACACAGTCCCCGTCCGCCCCCGATCCGCAGCGCGCTGCTCGCCGACCTTCTTGATCACGGGAAGGGCCCAGCAGTCGCAAACTTGACCACAGTCTGTGAGGCACCCACGGTGTCCATGTTGGCAGCCTTGAAGTCCGCCCCTAGCAGGCGCGTGGAGAAGGTGAGGAGACACTGGCCCCGCTACGCCCGAGCCGAGCTGAGCGATCAGTTGCGCACATCCCTTGTAGTGCGGCAGCGTCTTGTGGTGCGCCATCGCGTCAGCGTCCTCGTACACCTCGTAGAAAGAAAACTTGTTGTCACCGAGGTCTAACAGGTCAAAGCGCTGGCACCCTTTTTCTGCGCGAGACCCTTTGACGTCTGCTTCCATCACCTGCAACGCGTCCAGACCGGAGCACGTTAGTAGCTCGGCTCCGTCGCGGGCTCCGTCGCCCGTGAGGGCCACGGCACCAACCAATGTTGTGGAGTTTCAAAACCACCGTGATTGGAACGCCAACGCCAGAGCCGACCACCCGGCCACGGTGCGTACCTTCAAAAACTCCTCGACCTTGTCCGCCGGGACGGTAACCGTGACGAAGACGCCAGTGCCCATGTGTGGCACAGCTGTGGGTGGCAAGACCCGAACCGATTTTTTTATTTACAGTATTTTTGTTCGACTGGCACTGCTTAGCTCATCCCTTGAATACACCCTAGGTATTGGAGTGAGAAGACCGTGAGGAGGCATAAAGGTTACTGCGAGAATTGATTGGCGAGAGACTGCAAGGAGAGATAGGAAGAGGCAGACGCCCCGAGGGTGGGTGGGTGATGGCTAGCACCACACTCCTCGAGCCACACTCCTCTCCTTCCTTGAGCACTTGAGCACCGGATAGGGTCGATTCCGCATGGTACGGGACCCCTCGATCGTCTCGCCCTCCCTCACTGGTGTGTTCATTGGGGGGGTCATAACAAACACGGTGCAGGATCGAGGTGCACGCTGCCGAGGCAGTGTCGTCCCCCCTCTCCCCGCTCGTCGGTGACGGTGTCCCCCGATTTCGCCGCGCTCGGCGAACCTCGACAGCGCTTTCGGTGGCATGCAGCTCTTTGCGCCTGAAGCCTGGAGAGCAGCTCCTCTGCTGCTCACACACTCTGCACAGTTGACACAGCCTACTGTGCGGCTGCCACAGCTGTGACAGCGATGGGCTCGCCCTCACTGGCCCTCAGTCACTTGTGCTGCGGCTTGTGTGAGCGACACTGCTCGGCGACTGCCGGCACACTGTGAGACCATGGGTGTGAGGTCAAACCACGCTACCAGCGCTTGGTCACATCGGCCCCGAGGTCAGATCCTTCTACTCTGTTGATGGCAACACTTGTCTACTCGCTGGAGCCGAGCAGGAGGGCCCGGCGCACAACCCCTGGTCAACTCAGGGTCCACACCCCGTATTTTCTTTTGGGTCCTGTGGGCACCCTAACACCGAGACGCCGGTTCTGTGAGAAGTGAGATTATTTTGTGAAAGAGATCTTGAAATGATGAAAAAGGTGGCTCTACGTACTACGAGCACAGAGAATCAGGCGGATCTCCTCGGAGAGCAACCGGGCGCGCAGAGGGCTCGAGCCGCCCTTTATGGTGGCCCTGGCACGGCCCGTGGAACGCCCGAGCAGCAGCTCCACCAAAAGGAGGGTGTCGCCCGCGCAGTCCTCGGCAGCGTACAAGAAGAACTTGGCCTCCCCATCAAGCTCACCCCGCGCCATCGTCTTGATGTGGCGCGCGGCCAAACGAGCAGGCAGCTCCTCGGGCACGGCGTCTGCCTCCGCGTCACGCCAAGCATCCGCAATCGGTAGCCCGACCCACTGCCGCTCGAACTCAGCGGGTGAAGCGGCGGCCGCCGCCGAGAGCGAGAGGGGAGGATCACCGATTGCCCGTGTCGGAGGAGGGGCGGCGGAGCGCTCCTCCCCCGGGTCCTCCCCCGGGGGGCGCCCCTCCTGCGGCGGCTGAGGGGGTGACGCTGCCAGCGGCGGCGTGCCCCCAAGCCCCAGTCCGAGCAGGTCGGAGTCCTCGACCGGCGCCGGCGCGGGCTGAGAGCCGTTCACCTCGCCACGGAGGCGCCGCCTCTCCTCGAGTCGCTCGAAATGGCGCTGCGGCTCGCCGACGAGGACCGGCTCGGAGGGGGCGGAGAAGGGCGAGGCTCCGCCCACGCTGACCGCGCGGTAGCGGAACTGGAACGACTCGCCAACAGGCAAGTTGCGCTTAGTGACGGTGGTGGCGCGGAGAGCGGCGCTGGACGCGTTGCCCTCCCAGCCCGCCGAGGCGGCGCTCGAAGGCTCGTCGACCGGCTCGACGCACCACTGCAGCTCGTAGCTGTCGGCGCACGGGACCGGGTCCAGGACCAAGTTGACAACCCCCTGCGGTGCTGGGAAGGCCTCGGGCGGCTGCGGCGCGGTGAGTGCGGGGCAGATTGCGTCCGACCAGCCGGAGCGGCGGCCATCGTGCGCAATCGCTCGCACTCGGGTCCAGACCGCCGTGCCTGCAGGGAGGCCGGACGCAACCACCCGCCGCACGGCCAACCGCCGAGTGGCAGCGCAGCGGAGCCAACTCGGTGAGCGGCTGCTGGTGCCGCCCTCTGCGGGCGACGCCGGCTCGCAACGCCACTGCAGCTCAAAGTGCGAGATGGCGCCCGTGTCGGCCCACGGGGGCGTCTGCCACTCGACGAGCACACCGCCGACCCCGCACCCCTCGGCGTATGGCACAGAAGGGCCATCCAGCTCGCCCTCGCGGTAGGGAGCCTCGTCAATGGTCGCCTCGGTAGCGGCCGCCTCGGGGTGCGTTGCAGCCTCCGCTTCCGATGCCGCAGCCGGCGCGAGAGGCAAACCCTCAGCGAGAGCGCCGACGCCGGCGCTCGCACGCCCGGTGGCGGACCGCGAGCCGCTTGCAGCCAGCAAACCAAACGGGTCGTCGCCCTCGGCGGCCTTGGCGGCCCGCGCCGCCTCCCACACGGCGGCGACGGCCGGGTCCACGGCAGGCTCAAACTCCGCCAGAAGCGCGGCAACGCTATTGCCGGGTCTGGCGCCGGCCGTGCCCTTGACGGCCGGCTCGATCACCGCAGCTGTGCCGGGGACGTCGCCAACCAAATCGTCGAGGAGGGACGGCGGGGCGGGCGCTGCCGCTGCGAGCCGCTGCGAGGGCGGCGACTGCTCCACGAGCGGCGCCACTGCCGGTGGAGGGCTCACTGCCGGTGGTCCGGCTGCGCGCAGATCGAAGAGATCTTCGGCAGAGAGGCGCTTGCCAAACAAAAGTGCGCCCTCCCCGCCCCGTGACAACAGGCGAACTGCCGCCCCGTCGGCGCCACCCGCCTCGCCTGCAGCGTCGCAAGAGGAGCGCTCTTCGCGGCAAAACTCTTCGCGGCAAAGCTCGCCCGCCTCGTCGCACGGCTCTGCGCCCGAGAGCGACACTCGCGCCGTCGTGCCGCGCAGCTCCTCAAGCTCCTCGTCGAGCTCCGCCGCAGCGCCGGCCACCTGCGGAGCGAGACCCTCGAGACTGCCGAGCAAATCACCGACCGACACCGAAGCCGCGCTGCCGCCGCCGTCCCCGCCTCCGCCGCGGGCCCCACTGGCGCGAGCGGCTCCTCTGCCTCTGGACAGGCGCGAAGCCGCTTGCGCAGCTGCACGAGGCTCGAAGGGGTCTGCAGCAGCAAGAGCTGCGGCGGCCGGCTGCGCCGACAGGTGCTGCGGAGAGGCCGCCGCGCGCTCTGGCTGCAGGAAGAGCCCCTTTTGGAGGCCCGCCTCGACGAGAGCCGCCGCCCAGAAGTCGGCCACGTGAGCCGAGGAGAGGCCGAGGAGGAGGCGGAAGGCGGCACCTTGCCGCAGCGTGAGCTCAAGGCTGCCTCGCTCGTGCTCGACGTGGAGCGACCCGGCCTTGAGTGGGCAGGGGGGGGAGCAGCGTGGTCAAGGCGGGCGGGCGAGGAAGGTGCCAGGCGCCCGCCTCTCGTTCGGTGTCTCTCGTGCGGTGGGTCTGTGCGGCGTCTCTTCGCCTCGAGGGTGACGAGGAAGGTGACGGCGGAGCAGCCCGCGTCTCGAAACAGGAGCAGCTTCGATCGGCCCAGCAGCGCGAAGCACGGCTCCGAGCTCCGCCGCTGCGGCGCAAGCTGCTGCGCCGTCACCCATCCGTCCAGCCTCGCGGGCGGCGGCATATCCAGGTCGTCCCTCCTCAGCAGGCTTCCACCCGCCGACTCTCTGATCGCCGAGAGGAGCGCGCGCATCAGACAGACGATGGAGGCGGCGTCGGCGGCCGAGTGCGCGGTGAAGGCCAGCTCCGCCCCCGCAAAGCTCAGCCGCACCGCCGCCGCGCTCCTCTCATCGCCGGCCCTTGCGGCGCACAGCGAGGTCGCAGGCCACGACTCTGCGAGACTGCCATTGCGCCACCGCTCGATGCGCGCGAGCGAGGCGTCGCCGCTGGGCAGGCACGCCTCGAGCGCCACCTTCAGGACGCAGTCCTTGGTCGCGCCAAGCAAGCCCGTGGATGACCTCCGCAGGATGACGGGAAACATATAGACCGGATCCCATGGGCCTGCGAGGCACTCCGGCGTGAGGTCGCCCTGCTCGAGCACGCAGCGCATCGCAAAGATCCCATCGTAAACGGCGCGCGTCGCCGGCTCGCTGAGCGCCCCAAAGGCGTTTGTGATCAGCTGAAACCGGGCGATCGTCGCCTCGCCCGCGCCTCGATTGCGGTCAGGATGGTGCCGCAGCGATTGACGCTTGTATGCGCGCTTCAGCTCCGCGTCGTCCACGCAGAATTTGACTCCCAGTGCTGCGTAGAAGCCCTCTTTGGTGTCCGAGGGCCCGCTCATTGTGGGCCGCGCGCGCGCGCGCGCCCCGCGCGCCCCCGAGAGAGCGAGCGTGAAATCAGGCGACTCGAGTAACGAGAAGGTGTGGAAGCAGGGTTCGGACTTTTTGCGGGGTATGGTACCCTCTCGCAACCCACCTCGAGACCATACCCCCCCCCGCCTGCTGACAGACCCAGCCTCCCGGAGACCGGGGATGGGCGGTCAGGACCATACCCCCCCACCCTTTGGGCCGCGAGGGTACCATACCATACCCCGCAAAAAGTTGGAACCCAGCAGGTCAGAGCGAGCGCCCACCTGCCGACGTTTTTCTTTTTATAGCACTTTAAGAAGGCCTCTTCGACGGCCCATAAGGGGCCGTTGTCTGCTGTGCCTTTTGTGGTGCTAGTTCGTGCCAGTCTGCTGTTCGTAGAATTCTTTCTTTTTCACCTTCGGTGAAATCAGAGAAGCTGTGGAAGGAGTCGCTAGGTCGGCCCGCAGGCAGATTTTCAGTGCCCCCCCCCTCACTACAATGGGAGAAAGGGGAGAATGGGGTGTGTGTTCTCTTGGAACCTAAAGGCCCTACCGCGCGGCTGAGTGAGTGAGAGCTGGGAAGCGAGCTTTGCACGGCGATCGAGGATGGCGCGGTTCATTCGGAATGAAGCACCTTCCACACTTCCTGTGGGTGACACATCAAAAACATCTCTCAAAGATCATCATCGGCGGGCGGCGCTGGCGCTGCACTGTTCATCATCGGCGTGCTCCGCTGGCTGCGACTAAGGCACATACTTGCTTGTTTGCGCGACGATCTATCAGCCAGCGAGGTGGCGCCCTCTGCTCCTCCAGTCATGCGCACGGCCTTGCCGCGGCCTTGCCGAATTCTGCTCGTCTACGCCGCCTCCACCACGCTCCTCCCTGGGGCGTTTGCGCTTGCAGCGTCGTCGGCCGTTTCCCAGGAAGGGCCGCAGCTTGAGCTCGCGGTGGTCCTCTAAGGTCAGTCTCGCCGCCATCATTGGCATCCCCCTGGCCCCGAGCCCGACCCCCGGGGGCGTGGCCCCCCCGCCCCCCGCCCTCGTGCTGACTGGAGCTGACGTGAGCGGTCCGCGGCGCTGCCGGCGACGGCTTCCCCTCGACGCCACACGCCGCCGACCCTCCTGGCCTCGACAAGCACGCGCGGACGAGGGTTGCGGTTCGGGAGGGAATAAATAAATAAATAAAACGGACACCTCTACTAGGAGATGGGTAAAAAGGAACAGGTCCCCGCCCTGCGGTCTTTGTGCAGGGTTCTTTGTTCGGGAGGGAGGAGGAGTGTAGGGTGACGAAAAAGTGCCAAAAAAACCAAGGAGCAAGGTGCAAGGAGAGAGGAAACCACAAGCGAGCGCGAAAACAAAATAAACGAGCAAAAGAAGGCACTGCACGGAGCATATATCGCAAGCCGCAAGGGCGGGGACCTGTTCCTTTTTACCCATCTCCTAGTGAGGTGTGTCCGTTTTATTTATTTACCGCACGGCTAGATGCACTCCCCTTCCGCCGCCGGCTCGCCACCCTCGGCCGCAGCTCCTCCCGCCGGGGCTGCCGAGGGCGTGCCTCCGCCCGGCCTCTCACTGCTGCCGCCCTCCGCCCTCCGCTTGCGCAGCCTCGAGGCGAGCTGCTTGTAGCGAGCCTCGTCCTTCGCCGAGACGGACGGCCGCACCGTGTCGAGCGCGCGCTCGAAGTGCGCCCGCTGGACCTGCACGCCTACGCCTCCGCCTTCGCCTCCGCCTTCGCCTCCGGCGCCTCCGCCTCCGCCGCCGCCGCTCTCCGCCGCGCGCAGATCGCGCAGCGCGTTGGTGGCCGCCTCGCGGACCAGGTGCGCCAGGTCGGCGCCAGAGAGGCCGTCGCTGCGCGGGTCGCGCGCGACCGCCTCGAGGTCGACGTCGGGCGCGAGCGGCGTGCGGCGCGCGGCGGCGCGCAGGATGTCGGCCCGCGCGCCGGGGGGCGGGAGGGGGACGTAGAGGAGCTTGTCGAGCCGGCCGGGCCGGAGCATCGCCGGGTCGATGATGTCTGGCCGGTTGGTGGCGGCGACGACGTAGACGGCGGCGCGGTTCTCGAGGCCGTCCATCTCGGTGAGCAGCTGGTTGACGACGCGCTCGGTGGCCTGCGAGCCAGCCTCGCCGCCGCGGCGCGGCACGAGCGCGTCGAGCTCGTCGAAGAAGATGACGCAAGGCGCCGAGGCGCGCCCGCGGGCGAAGAGGACCCGCACCGCTCGCTCGCTCTCGCCGACGTACTTGTTGAGCAGCTCGGGCCCCGAGACGGACATGAAGGAGGCGCCGCTCTCGTTGGCGACCGCCTTTGCGAGCAGCGTCTTGCCGCAGCCGGGAGGGCCGTACAGCAGCACGCCGCACGACGGCCGCAGCCCGAGCG